ATGTGCCACAGCCCTCAGCTCCCGCGGCAGACGCCTGCGCGCCCCCGACCGTCCCCCCAGGCTCCGAGCGCTGCCAGTACCCTTTGGCAGAGGGCACTCCCAGATGGCTTACAGAAGCCGAGAAATCCGGAATCTCCAAGTTCCCGCAGGATGGGGCACGAAGGAGGCGTGAAGCCTGCAGAGCGGCTCCAAGACAGCCGCCCGGTAATGCCCCGGTCACTCGGTCCCCTCCACTCCAATAGGGGACCTGCGGCACAGCCCAGACGGCTCAGATGCTTGGCTCTGAGACTGCAGGGCTCGGGGCCTGTGCTGGCCATCAAGCTCTTCCCCCTCGAGACACACGATGCCTTCCCTGGCACCAAGCTCCTTGGCCCCCACACCCAGGGGGAGGGACACGCCAGGCTCTCAGGCCCCGGAGCTCACCCCTGATGGCGCCACAGGGCTCTGAGCTGGGAACAGCACACCCGTTACAGCAAACCTGCCCCACGGACAGCCATAGTCACCGTGGACAGTGACGCCAGGAGAAAACCAGCGTTTTCCAGCAGCGTGCGCCCCCTCTGCGCATGACCACACCCTGTGTTATCCTACTGACCGGTCACAGGCTCTGGCCACAGCCCGCTTCGACCTACAAGCACCGGAGAGTAGATGGGCCGTCCGCCTCAGCGGCCTGCAAAGCCACCGCTGGACAGAGCTGCAGAGCCCCCAAGCCTCCCTGACCCCAAGGGTGGGAAAGGCTGTGCACGGTTCCCTGATTCTCAGCTCCGCGTGTGTTTTTGTGTTCCCGAGGGGAAGCTGCTCCGGGGCTGGAGGGAGTCAGTGCTGCCCCCAGTGGGGTCCAGGGGCACCTGGATGCCCGGGCCCTCTCAGCACTGAGCCAAACACACTGGGACACGTGGGGCTCGGGGCACACACCCTCTCAGGACACCTGTCCCCGCAGCCTATGTGGGGGCGGCATGCAGACCCCGCACCGACCGCGTGAGAAGGCAGACCTGAGGCAGGTTGCTTTCTTTATTGAAAACCAGCCCAGTCCTGTGACTGGAACCCCAGCTCCCAGACGACGGCCCAGAACAACTTGTAAACGAGTAAACCCCGGCACGATCTGTAAGCGCGCTCCGTGTAAATGACCCAGAAACACGGGCAAGTAAGTCCCGCTTTGCATGGAAGGTCCAGTCTGGAACGAGGACAGTCAGTCTCCCGACTCACTGTGACCCCGGGGCAGACGCTTGGCCGCACACACGTGGTGGGGGTGGGGGGTGCACGATCCCCTCACACACACTTTCCTCAGAGGAAAACGTCTGAGCAGAAATGATTTCTGATTTGTCTGTGGTCACGGACAACGTCTCCGGATCCTTCCTCCCAGCCAGGTCTCCTCACGGTCTGCGAAACCTCGGTGCGGGGCACACGTGACGGCCCCAGGGACGCGGGACGCCCGAGCACAGCCCGGCCCCCCCGCCGTGCACAGGATGGATGTGAGCAGGACGAGGACGGGCGTGGGTCAGACGGACAGCGGAACCTCCCGCGGCTCACGACTCAGTGGTTTCACTTCAAAATCCAACCGCAGAGCCGTAAAGATCCAAACTATTTCTCTGCTCCAGGAGCACACGAGTACGTGAGTTCCTTTCTCCTGCTGTGCCATTAACGGACACTCACGACATCACATCAAAAGCAGAAGGAAGGGCCACATCCTGCGCACACAACCTGGGAAAGGCACCGGAGAGGTCGGGCAGACGCTCCCCAGCCTCCCGCCTGTGGCCAGCGTCCACGAACCGGAATGCAGACCCCGGGCTCATCTCAAGCTGGGAGTCAGGACGCACCGCAAGGAACCTTCTAGAGCGTCAGCCGTGAACTCTGAGAAACCAGAAAGAAGACTCACAAGACGGAACGTTGTCCAAGGCTCTGAGAAGCTGCTCAGAGCTCAGACCTCTCCCATCACGCCTTCCGTGGCAAGCAGTGCACACGCGGCCCTCCCAGCCCCGCCCCTGCACACGCAGTTCTCCCCAGCCCCCATCTCTGCACACACAGTCCTCCCCGACACCAACCCCACCCCCAGCACCCCCACCTCTGCACACACACCAGCGGCCCCAGCAGGGGCATCAAGGCTGACCTGTGAAGCTGGCGTTCCCACCGGCAGCCTCACCCCAGAAACCGTCTCTTCTGAACGAACTTACAATTCTGGGTTTTCGGGGGGCGGAGGGACTCTAGCAGGTCATTGCGATTTCTGTGCCTGTCCCAAGCTTTAAGAACAGGTACGTCATTCTGTTAAACTCTACAAAAAATTTAGACTATAAAACTATGAAGTTCTGTCAAATGCTACGGTTAGCTTCACCGACGTAACACAACTTCATCAAAGGCAGGAAGAAGGATCGTCTTTGACTGCTGCGGGCCTATCAGAATGCTCTGCGCGCGGGGGTGGGGCTGGGGTCACCGTAAAGGTTGTCTGGAGAAAGAAACCCCCCACCCAGGTAAAAGATCCCAAAGCACCCAAAGTCCTTGGGAAAGGCTGGTGCGGCACACTTTCATTAAAAAGGTCCTTTTCCTGGCAGGATGGAGTTAAAACCACACGCAGTGACAGGAAAGGCAGACGGGTGGCAAATCTTCCGTTCCAGATTCTAGAGACCGTGCAAAACGCGGCCCTGGGGCTGCTCAGTGGAGACCCTGCTGGCGTCCCCGGAGCGGGCGGGAGTGCGACAGGAAGTCTGGTCGGGCCACCCTCGCCTGTGGGGACAACGCCCTGACCTCTTGTTTGACCCTGGCCCCAGCTGCCCCGGGGAGCCAGCTAACAGGACCAGCGGGAACAGAACAGGGACCAGGAAACACATTTCTATGTGGAACCAAAACAGGGGGAAAGGTTAGCTTCCCACCTCCTGAAGGGAGCTGGGGGCCTCCACGGGTTTTGTTTGCCAGCTGAGCTCACAGGAATGTCGGGCGCCCGCTCCCCCCACCTCACCCCACTCTGCGACGGGGCATCTGCCCCCCAGGACCACGCGATCCCTGCTGGAGGTCCCAACACAATGGCGGCAGCGCGTCCGGAACGCGCAGTCAGACTCGCCTGGTCAGCACCCACGGTGACCCGCCCGGAGCCCTGATCCCCGAAGACGCCCCCAGCCCAGCGAGCCTCCGGGGAGCAGGCAGCGGGCCGCGGTCAGAGGCGCCCTGCCGTCCTCAGCAGATGCAACGCTAGCTGTTCTGGGCCGAACTCTGTCCCCCGAGATTCAGGGCTCAGAGTCCTCACCCCGGGACCTCAGAACGTGACCGTGTGTGGACACAAGTCACGTTCTCGTGCGATCACTGGGTGGGTCCTGGTCTAGTGGCTGGCGTCCTCATAAACTGGGGACATGCGGGCACAGACACGAGCACAGAAGAGGTGCAGCTGTCTGAGCCTCAGAAGGAGCTGCCCCCCGCCGGCGCCCGAACCTCCAACCCCAGAAAACCAACGTGTGTTGGGAGCTGCCGGCCAGTGGTGCCATGACCACAGCCCAGCACAGACCGACACATGGGGCCGAGCGACACGGCCACGCAGCCCTGTGCCTTGGAGACCAGACCACCTGCAGTCCTGACCGCAGGGTCCAGAGAGGGCCCAGAGTCACGAGACTGTGGCCTTCATGGTCCATGAAATCGCAGGCGGTGGGGAACTGCACCGGGGAGCCTGGTTCGAGCTAGTTGGCTTCCAACTAATCTTATTTTTACTTAATAATTATAGAGAGAATACAGTGGGCATAACCTGTTCTTAAATTTTTTTAAACACCTCCAAACAGGTTTTTAAAAACTTTCCATGTCATGCATTAAAGCCTGGTGCTGAGATGCGCTTGTCTGATGAGACGTCTTCCTACCCTCGTTTTGTCTTCACTGACACCTCGTCTACACCACGCGCCACTAGAAAGGGGGTGCTGACCGTCTCAGTGTCCTAGGGACTGTCCGTGTCCTGCTGGGGTTTTGCCACAGACTTTCAGAAGGTGCAGCTGGGCCTGCCTGGAACCTATAGCTCAATGACCCCCTTGCAGCCCACCGGGTCCCAGGCCCTTGCCCCGACACGGCTCTCAGCAGAGCCGCCCACACGCACAACTGCGTCACGCTGCCGGCTGGCCTTCCTCACCGCAGGGCGCGCGCTGCTGGAACCCGCGGGTCCCTCTCCCCGGAGCTGCTTCCAGAAGGGGCTCCAGCAGAAGAGCGACAGGGAACATGACGGCGGAGCCCAGGATGCCGGGCCCCACGCGAGCAGCTGTGCTTCCCGGGGAGGGGGGCACACCCGCGAGGGAGGCACGTTTCACGCCTGATAAAAATCCCGGAGCAGAAAGCATTCTGCCAGGGGTCATTAGCGGCCCACCTGTCGGGAAAGCTGTTCGGTTAAAAATAAAAACGGCGGCCGAGTGAGTGGGCCCAGCGGAGGGGCGGCCACCTGCACACCGCCAGGAAGAAAGTCAACAACCCGGGTGGCTACGCTGGGAGCACCACTGAGCTCCTCGTCGCCAGACTGCCAGGGAGCAGGCGCCTGTCTCCTGGGACCCGGCACCGTGTCGTGCTGCTGGCCGCTCTGGGAGCCGCCGGGCCGAGGCCGCGTCTGCAAACTCCCCGCAGCAATCACGAGGGAGAGGGAAGCGGGTGCGGCAGAGGCCAACACACAAGCAGGAAAGCGTCATTTGGTTTTAGTAAAAGAAAAAACAACTCGAAACAGCGAGTGCCTGGCTGTGCCGGTCTCTGTTAGGGACAGGCCTGTCCCCACCGGAATTCTCCCGCTGCAGCCCGACCCCCCGCCCCGGGAACACGGCCTGAGGAGGACACGGGACCTTGAAGGAGGCTACTCTGTGAGGACGAGGCCTTCTGGGGGTCCTCGTGAGAAGGGGGCTTGGACGCAGACACAGGCGGGGGGGGGGGGGCCCGCGGGGAGGGACGGCGTCTGCACAGCTGGAGCAGGCAGCCCCGTGCCGGGAGGCCTGGGAGAAACCAGCCCCGAGCCTGCCCCTGGGCCCCCGCCCCAGCCCCGAGAAACCGGCCGCGCTCACCTGCCGTAGGCTGTCGGGGACCGAGGCCGGGCCCACTGGTACGGGTGCTGCGGCACCGACAGGTACTGGTCGCAGAAGGCACCCTTCCGGACGTGCTGGAAGGACGGGAACTCCTCGGGCAGGAACTCGGCCGTGGGCGGCGTGGTCCCCAGGTCCTCGCCGGCCGGCTCCACCTTGAGCGCCACCGAGGGACAGTGGTCCAGGGCGGTCTTGCGTGCCTTCACGGGGACGCCGTCCAGCTCCAGGCTGCCGTCGGTGCTGAGGGCGTTGATGGCGGCCACGATGGCCGAGCTGGTGTACTGGGTGCTGTTGCCCAGCCACGTGTCGTCGGTGACGCTGACCCGTGGCGAGCCGCGCGGGGATGGCGTGGGCGAGTGGTGCGGCGAGGTCAGCTGCTGGCCGTTGAGGCCGTACTTCCTCTTGTTGCAGGGCGATGAGGGCCGGGACGTGCGGGTCCCCAGCCAGCTCTCCTCAGTGACGCTTGTGCGGGGAGAGGTGGAGGGCGAGTGTCGGGGGGAGCCGAGCAAGCCGCAGACCCCCAGGCCACGGGGGAAGCCCTCCTCGGGGTCCGTGGTCTTGGGGGACACACAGGGCGACTGCCACGGGGATGTCTGTGGGGACGCGTAGGGGTACGAGAAGTTGGACTCGTAGGACGAGGCTTCGGAGTTGCAGCTGCGGGAGGACAGGCTGCTGGCCGGGCTCAGGCACGAGGGGTCCCGGTAGGCCTCCAGGTTGGGCAGATTCAGGGTGGCCGTGGAGGGGGGCCGCTTGGAGCCGGGAAGGACGTCGTCCACCTCCACGTCATGGAAAAACTGGTTGTTGCCGTGGTGCAGCCCCATGTACGAGGTGATCTCGATGCGGGGGCTCTCCAGGGCGGGGGCCCCGTTGGGTCTGGCGTGGCCGGAGGAGAGGAAGTAGCTCGAGGGCCCGCTGTCCACTGCGCCCCCATAGCCTGGGGGCTGACTGGCTGCGGTGGCCGGCACGCCCGGGGCCGAGGTCTGCAAGTCGTGGCCTGGAGCGGGCAGCGAGGGCTGAGCCGAGCTGGGAAGCAGAGTGGAGCGGACGCCGGGGGAGGCGTAACTATAGTGCTCTAGAAAGGGGACAGAAAAGAAGACGGCGTGAGGGGCCGGTCATCAGAAAACACGCCCACAGCGTGGTGAGCCCGTCAGCACCACACAGGCCCAGGCCTGGACCCCAGGACACAGCTGTGAGCTGCCACTCAGCTCGCACTGCTCCAAGGGCCCCCTCCTGGCCCACGAGGCCCAGACCGGTCCTCCCTTCGCTGCTCTCCAGCACAAGGGCACCCACGGCCCTTCCCACCACCCTCAGGCTTCTGCCAGCTTCCCTCGGTCCCAAGGGCCCTGCCTTTACAGAGCCGCCCCCTCCTTCCTTCCCTCTTCAGAAGCTGCCTTCCCCGGCCACCTTCCCAGGTTTCGGTCCCCAACCCAAAGCCCGCGGCGTCCTCCCAGCTCCTGTCTTCCTCAACACTCAGCGTCATCTCAGCCATCGTCCCCTTCACCAGAGAGCGTGAGTTCCATGAGGGCAGGAACCTCTGCCTGCCTTAGTCCTCTTTGCTTCCTGGCTGTCTCCAGAGCCTAAGACTGTGCCTGGCACAGAAAACATCCCCATATGTTAAACAGACGGATGGGTGGTGGCTGGGTGGGTTTTGGCTACAGGAACCTGAACATTTAAAGAGACTTAACAAGCTAATCACTGTCAAGGTGCCTTAACCAGTAGCCATAGAGACCCTCAGGGGTCAGGAAGGAATACAGATTTCCGGGTCTCTCCCATGTAAATTCTGACGGCAGTTCGTGGCCTAGAAACCCGTGTTTAAAATAAAAAAAGCAGAGGACATTGATGCACAGCTAGATTGAAGAATCATTATGTATTAATTATAACCTCAATACAGTATATTTTGAAAATCATTACTAGTGTAATTAGTAATTTTCAACAGGAAAACCATATTTCTGGATTTCCTATTTGAAAAGACATTTTACGACATCTTGTACCTCGTTACCGCGCACCTAGAGGGGAGCGTTCCAAGCCTCTAAATAATGGAAGCACCAAGGAAACCGGACACGGGCCTGGGTTAGCGCTCGGCCCTGGAGGCACGTGGTTCTGGGCAGGGCCCCCTTCCGCGGGGCTGTGGAACGGAGACCCACAAGGGACCAACCGCGGGACATCAAGGGTCTGAGAGAACTGGTCCAAACCGCAAAGTGTTGACGGACAGAAACAGTCCGGCCCCGAAGGGACGGGCGTGGACGTCCGCTGTTACTTCTTTCCAGGAGGGCCTGGCCACTCCCTGTGGCAACCAGGCTCTCACCGTCCCTGCTATCAAGAAGTTCTTGCTTCTGCTGCTCGGAAAGCCCCCAGGGAAACCTGTTTGCTATTCCCCAAATGGTCTTTCCTCCTCCAGGCCCCTCACAGGTGGCCTGGGGAGCGCACACAGGCCCACCCCCTTTCCAAGAAGGGCATCAGCATCCCAGATGCCAGAGTCCATGCCAAAATGCCCTGGGGGACAGAGCCCTGCCCAGGAAGAGGGAGCAGACCAGAAGCTTCCTGAGACAAAAGGGGTCCCGTCAGGACCACTGTGCCTGGACGAGACCACAAGCTCAAGCACCCAGCCGCTCAGCTGCCCACCTCCAGTCGCGGTCCCCCTCTGCTCCCACGGACCGCAGGGCAAGCAGGGTCCCTGACACGGGGCATGAGGGAAGGCCCGGGCCCTCGCTTCCCCAGCGTGGGAGGCGGCGCGCCGGGCCTCCCCTCACCCGCCCCGGGCCGCCTTCCTGAGAACCTGCCCCGTGTGTGCCGGTGCTCGGGGCACCCCCACCATACCACATGCTCGCGGACGGCCCCAACAGACACCGCCACCCGCAGTTTAAAACGACAATCCTTGCAAAAATCAAACAAGGAGGTAAAAACCCAGGAAAGGTGCTTCGCAGAGAACGTTCCTCAGGAAGAGGTGGCCTGGGGGCCGTAGGCATCACCTGGGCGCGTGGCCTTCCACACCGCACCTGACAGACTGCGGCCCAGTGGCCTGGCGGGGTGTCGTCCAGGAGGACCCAGAGGGACCTGGGCAGTGGGGGGCACAGGGGGCCAGCCCCGCAGAAGGCAGGCTGGTCCACGGATGGTCTGGCCGGCACACAGGACCCGCCGGGAGCGCAGGGGTGCGAACGCCAGGCAGCGCTCCCTCCTCCAGCGGCTCCTTTCCCACGTGAGCGCGTCCGGCAGGGCTTCGCCCGTACCATACACAACGTACTTCCACACCCACGCGCATCTCCGCGTGCTCCATTCGCGCACAGGCACACACGTGCGTCCAGGCCTGGCTCACACACACCCGCAGGCGTCCACAGTCTGAGCAGCGCAGGAGCCACAGGCCAAGCTGACAGCTGAGCTCACCGAGGGACCGACACCGACGGTGTTAGTAAAGCCAGTGTGAGTTCGTTTTACATACTTAGAGGGCAGGGTTTTAGGACGTAGGTGTCCACAAGTAACTTTACGATGTCCAACATGCACTTGAGCCCGAGTTACAGGGACTGTGTCCCCCTCCATCCCTGGCATCTGGCTCACGACTGGCACAGACTCCTGCCTTCTGGGCCACCGCATGTGCCGGGACACCTCGACCACGTGCCGGCACAGGCCGGACACACACCCCTTTGTGGCCGTCGCCAGCTCCCCGGCATCTGGGAGAGTGCAGGTCGCCTGACGTCCCACCCCAGCCCCTCCTGCTCTGTGTCTGCCCCGGACACACCATCGGCCGCCCTTCCTCTGGGCTGGGCGCACACTTTCTGGGCTCCACCCAGAGAGAACCATGGTGCAGCTCTGCTGTAGTCTCAGCTCCCCTTTGGCTGTCGGGGTGGATGACACACCATGACGGGGGGCGCCTGAAGAGCCCATAAGCACAAGGGGCTGTGCCTTCCTGGAGGTCTCTGAGCAGTAGCTGGGAGTGGCCAGCCGGCCTGCTCCCTGAGCACCTCTGACCTCCAGGTGCCACCATCCCAACCACAGGGAAAACCCTGCCAGACCCTCCCAAACGGAGGAGGCCCACCAGGCCCTGGCCCGCCCCCGGCTGGTGTGCACACGCTTCCTGTGGGCCCTGCATTCAAACGCTTGTCCCTGCGTGGGGGTGAGGACCTGGCACCCGGGAAAGAACGTGTTTCCCTGTTAGAGAGAAACCCGCAAGTACAGCGGACAGTGGAGAGTATTAGACGTCGTTTCCGTGACAACAAACGTGTGTCATGAAGCCACGCCCATGAGGAGTCTGTGAGGCCCCTGTGATGGGCTCCCGGGCCTCCCCAGCCCCCAGGACTCTCCCAGCTTGTCTGGGCCTCCAAGGAGGTTTAATGGACCAGGCCTCGCATTTCTTGCCCCAGTGAAAACAGTACTATGTGTGTCTGCAATTTATTTTGGAGACGGGCTCCTCGCTGGCCCAGCTGGAAGAGTGTGCGACTCCTGAACTCGGGATTGTGATTTTGAGCCCACGTCGGGAGTAAAGACTAGTTAAAAAATTAACTTAGAAGAGAAAGAGAAAGAGAGAGAGCGCACTAACCTTCGTTGGCAGGAAGGTAATCCCAAGATTTAAAAAACAAATCTACCATCAGCGGAGCAGGTCCGGGGGACTCCCCACCAGTCCATGGGACTCAGCCCCTGCTCCTGGGCGCCTGGAGCCCGAGGCTGGAACTGCACAGGGCACTGGATGGGGGGACTTGAGGTTGGAGAAACAGCAGAGTGAGGTGCTGGGCGGGGGGACTTGGGGTTCTGGAGAAACGGCAGAGTGAGGCGGGTCTGCCTGGCATGAGTGTGAGCCGTCTTCTCTTAGGGTCCGGAAGACAAGGGCTGTAGGACAGGAATGGCCCCCCCAACTCCCAGAATATCCTAAGAGAGCCTTCATGTCACCCAGTCTGTCAGTAGCCATAAGTCAATGAGAAAAGAAAAAACAAGAAGCTTTTATGTTTAAAAAGAGTCACCTAAAGCGTGACTTTTCCTTAATTAAACAAATTACAAAACGGAAAGCTTCAATGCCTGAGGTTCATTAGGAATGCTCAAAGGTTGGGGGACGCTGGGTAATAAAGGTCCCTCTTCTAGAACAAACACATAAGCGAGGGGGAGGTGCCAGCTCGGCCCCCCTGGGCCCCAGGTGCTGCCTTGGGCTGCAGGACGCTCTCTCCCTGCCTCTCCCTCCTCTCTCCCACCTGGTTTGCTCTCCTCACCGCCAAACCGTATTCAAATCCCAACTGATTCAGTCTTCAAGGACTACACTTACATGCAATGAAGATATTTCCAGCGACTTTCTTAACAATCCCAAGATATTCAGGCTGATTCAGGTCCCATCAAGACCCACTAAAGCTCCCATTAGGGTCACTTTCTGCCTAGTGTTCAGAACCTGGCTTGGGCCAAGGACCGTCCATGAAATGACGGCGCCGGTGAGCGCGGGAGAAACCAGCCCGGTCCAAACAAGCATCACGGAGAGCTTGTTCAAACGCTCTACAGTGCCAGCCGGAACTGAAGCGTGGCTCACCCTCTGAAGACAGGCCTGCCCCCGGCCTCCTGGTTCTCACATGTCCACCCTGCAGCCGCAAAGCCCTGGGCAAGGTTCTCTGGGGACATGAAGAGGGACACCAGGGTGGGCGGAGGACACATGCCACAGTCAGGCTGGCCCAGTGCTCAGCCGGTGCACGCCAGTTGTCAGAAGGATTTCGTCTCATTGTGAGAAAGGACTGACTTCAGAACCAATGCTGTCATTTCGCGTGTCCTTCCTACCGAAGGCAACAGCATCTGCGCCCGCACCTGCCCCCTACGGGCCAGGGCGACAGGCAGACGCAGTGGCCCAGGCTCCCCTCGTCTCCCACAGACCAGTACGCCCTGGCCCAGCATCTGCGGGGGTCGAACCCAGGACACGACGCTGGGCGGAGAAGCTGCAGGGCTGTGGAAACAAAGCGCCGCCGAACCGAAACCCACTCCTGCCCACCGCCTACCTCCGGGCGCTGTCCACACTGCACACCCGGGAGGCACTGGTCAGCGGCCCAGGTGGCCGTGGGGGACGCACAGGAACCCGGGGGTGTCACCAACCCGCCAGGAGAAGGAGCGCGC